ATAGGGATAAATGATACTAGACTATGCTTTTATGGGATCCAGTGAAACTAAATAACCCATATTCACAATAATTATTGTAGGTGGCAACATTTCCTCATTCCTGCCTGGCTGGTGATTTTTTTTTCATTTGATTTATTTTGCCCTGAATGATCAGTGATTATGTGACGCTCATTATAAACGTATCGCTGCTTCTCACCTTGTTATTTACCTTATTTGAATCCAGTCTGTCTAATGAAATACCTGGAAAGTACTAGTGTTGTTTTTGCATAAACATATTAAAAGGGCATTAAGTCAAGGCACAATAAGAATGGTTGAAATTACCAGTCTCTAGTGCAATGATATATTTTCTTAAAAGAAGGACCTTCTTCTGGAAATAAATAATGAAGGTAACCGCATGATTAGTAACTGTGCTATGGGTATCCAGATTTTGTTTTTACACCCAATTTGTGCCAAATTGTAGTGCTTTGTGCTTTTAATTTTTACAATGTATTAATTTTTTCTTTCAGTACATAATGTAAAGTTCCAGTGAAATAATATAAATATCTGCCTTAACAACCACTCAAAGTTTTTGTGAGAAGCAAATGAGCAGAGTATGTGGAAACAATGTGAAGGCTATATTATTCTATAGTCATAGTGGATAACCAGTGTGTGAATGTAAGTGATAGTGATTATCTTGATGGTGAGGGCAATGGTAATGAGGAAAATGCTGAAACTTGCAGCTTCAGTGATACACCTAGTCAAGACACATTCACTATCTCACAGACAGCACCTGGTAACCCATGGATTCTTCTCCCTGTTGTAATTATAAAATACAGGATCAGATATTCATCAACAAAAGCTTACATTTCTAGTAATTGTAAGAGATAGAATTTGATTTAGCTTGAAATGGAGTCTCTGTCCCTTGAACTTACCCAGTGAAGCAGAGTAAGCACACCCTCATTCCAAAACTACAGTCAAAGGATATACTTTCATAATCAGTTTCCATATATCCATGAAAATGTCTGTCTACCTAATTACCTGTGTATCTATCTGTGAGAGCTGATGCACTGTTGTGGGCCTTAGTGCACGTTGTGCCTTGGAAGCACACATACACACAAGCAAATATTCACTTTACATTCTTTACTCCTTTACACCTTAAATAGTTATGGTTCTCCAACTTCATACCCTTCTCAACAATTACAAATACACACTGCATAAATATGAATAAGATCAGTTATTCCTAAGTCAGTTAGATACAACATTATGTACTCTGTCTCTTCTTAGGAGAATCCATTGTGGAGGAACTTGAAGGAAGGAGGAATCTCCTTTAGGATTCCATGCCAGGATGCTGTGGAGAGCTGTCCTTGTCTAGACCCCAGAGGACACTCTTCTGTGTCATCTGATTGGCATTCGAGACAAGTGTTATCAATGTGAAATAATTCTTACTATAGACATGCAGATTCAGGTACAGACAGCTTGTGTTAAGGAATTCAGGCTGACTCATGGAGTCAATGACTTCACTGCCCTTTCAGTGAAACTGATGCTGCTTCGAGATTTGCCATTTCCGAGCCCTATGTGTTAGTAGGGAGATCACTTTCTGGAACTTTCAAAGATTCAGAACTTTAGGATATTACAGATATCACTTCAGAAGAAGGAAAGTAATCCAGATTCTGGAAAATCCCATGACAAGTGTCTTGGATTTTGCAGACTTTTAAAAGTTCAATCTGATTTCTTATAAAACTTCCAGGAAAGCCAACGTGTGCCCCTGCCTTCCTAGCTTGCTTTTCTTTTTCTTTCTTTCTTTCTTTCTTTTTTCTTTTCCTTCCTTCCTTTCCTTTTTTTCTTCTTTCTTTCTATTTTTTTTTTGTAAATCCAGTTTTCTGCACCTATGCAAATGATCCTGTCAATTTTAAGGAGACCGGACTTATTTTGTGATGAATAATGGTTTTTCTGTTTGATCAAAGTTGAGGAAAGTATAGGAAGGAAAATCTGTGCCTCAGTGGAAAACTGCAGTATCTAGACTCAAGAAGACCGTCCTCCTTGGTTCCCAACTCAGTCACAAGGTCACTGCATGGTCATGAGTAACTCTCTTCAAATCCTGTGATTCCGTGATTCTTCCATGTGATAAGTAGACTATAGGTGAACAATCTTTGTCTTCTGTGAATATATGAATCACTAAAATTAGGCTACTTTCTTCATCTTACTTTCAATTCTAAATTGAAGGATAGGAAAGAGATTCATGCAATGCAATGACGTTTTTGACTTCAAAATTAGTAATAGGTACTTTATTTGAAACTTGGGCAGCGTTTGGAGAATTGTAATTATTATGCTGAATATGTTCATCCTCAACTTGATTTACACAGGAGTTTATACGGGTGTTTTTCTGTAACTGAATTCTTCCAGTAGGGAAACTTTTACACTGGGAACAAGATAGAAAATGTCTTTCATTTAGAGTTTCTGAGAAACCAATTTTCTGTGAAGATATGTAACTATTGCCAGGTGAAGTGAAAGTACATTAAAAACAGGTGATATGAGGAAACAGAAGAAGAATTGTAATGAGTAAAGCTTAATCATTAAAATAATCCTAGTTGTTGTTTGAAATTTTTTATATTTTCTCAATTATTTACCACTTATATGGAGTTTTTGATTTAATAAATTTACCGTTTTTTCTTTTCTTTTTGTTTTGGGTGATTAAAAAGTGAGCCACCCTTATTTCAGATTTACTGCCAAAAATTTTTGAGGGATGAACTACACCACACATTTTTAAAAGATTTATATTAATGTATGTTTATGTAGGTGTGCCATTTACTCATAGGTTTGTGTGTGTGTATATACATATGCATATATGTATGTGTGTTTGTGGATCTAGAGAAGTTTACTGAAAATCTCTGAATATCAGTTTCATCGTCTATAAAATATGAATGGTGATATCAATCTGAAGAGTTATTTTGATGAACTCCAATAGAATCAAGGAATGAATCCTGTGATGTTCCAGGTGCCAATGTGTGAAGAGAGTGCATGAAAGTTCATGCCTCCCTCCTTCCTTTCATGTGAGACGCAGTTCAGGTTTAAGGTTTGTGGTTCCTACTGACTCTGAAGTCTTGACCAGAACTTTTTCTGCTTGTTCTTTCCTCCTGTGTATTATTTCAATAACGTTGACCCCTGCATACTGAATTTTTAGTGAAAAGAAAGTAAAAGCAAGATGTTTCTTAGTTTGCTTAAAAAAAAGATGTTTCTTAGTTTGCCTTCCTTATAGCTATTTCTGTAAATAAAAAAATAAAAGGGTCAGAAATAATCAATTTGGATTTTATTTTTACATAGGAAAAAATATCTTCTTCACATTATTGAAACGGGAACATCATGGCTGAGGCTGCTTTCCTGTCAGGAACCAGCTTCTAATTTTATTTAAATAATATTATGTAATGGGACATTAGAATATTAGAACCCTGGAACATGGATAATAAAAAGATGATACATTGGCAGTCATAAAACATGGCTTTAACTATCAGATCTGATGTGTCATTTATTAAGCTGTTTTTTGTTCTTTTTTCCTCTGTTTAAAATTAGGATAATGTAAACTATCTCTTGGACAGTTTGTCATAGCCCTATGTAAAATACAAATGATACAAATGTTTGAAATGTAAATTGGATTAACAATTTCAAATATTACATGTTCTACTTACCAATAATTAACCAATAATATAAATTCTATAGTATTGGATTTGTATATAGTATTGGATTTGTCTTAATGCCAATCTCCTATTGATTACAAATGACATTTATGAAAACAATTTTCTCTTCTAAATATTTTTTCAAAAATTACCAATATCTTAAAATACCTGAAAATAAATTGCTCTGCAGAGGCTTAAAAACCTGCCAAGATTTTCAAAAAATGTATTTGCAAATCCAAATTGGAATAGTTTCAGTACATTTAAGTGATTTTTTGTTAGGGTAAATATACATAACAGAAACACAGTTTTAACTGTTTTAAGTGTAGAGTTCTGTGTCATTAAGTACATATATTGTTGTGCAACCATCACTACCATGAACCTGTCTCCAAAACAATTTCATTGTCTCCAACTCACACTTTGTTCTTGTCAAACAATTACTCTGCTTCTCTCCCTTCCCCCATCCTCTGGGGTCCACCATACCACTTTCCGTCTATGAATTTCACTACTGTGGGTACTTCATGTAAGTGAATTCGC